AATTTTGGCAACGCCACCGACTCGGGCTCGTCTTCTGCTTCCTCCTCTTCCTCGTCGTCGCCGTCGTCGTCCTCGCGGCCCGGCTGCCTCAGCTGGATGGAAAGGCTGCCCGACATTTGCGACACGATGCGGTCATGCACCGCCCGCGGGGCCCGGTGCAGTGAGTTTGAGCAGCTGGCGGGAGGCTGGGTGCGGCAGTACCTTCCGCCGGCGCAGTACGAGCAGGTGCGGCGCAGCTACCCTGGCCTCGGCGACCCCGACGCACGGCGCGGCAACCTCCTGCAGGACGTGGACCCCCACTTGCTGCGCTTGTCAAGCAGTCAAAAAGGCGAGAGCGGTGAAGACACCGTGAGCCAGGAAGACAGTGGGAGGAGCGGAAAGGGCGCGGGGGGTTGGCTTGCCCTGCTGCTTTTCTCTCTCTTGGTTGGTGTTCTGCTGTGAACTGCAGCATCTGCCGCAGCGATGCGCCGCCGCTGCCCCATGAGGCGTGCACTGCCCAAATGCGCGACCAAAATGGCTCAGCGTATAGTGAAATATTTAGTACATAAATGGCGGAGAGGAGTCTGGGCCCTCGCTCCCCACAAGTAAATGAATAGAAGTAGAAGGAAAAGGCAAAAGAAAAATGGGGTAAGGAAGGAACAAGGAAAGGGGCAAATATTATTATGCTTTTTATTGTTTTGTGTTCCATTCGTTTTGTGATTACTCCAACGTGTGCGCCGCGGTGGCCTCTGACGGGTCCAACGCGGCTCTTATTCTTTGTTGTTTGTAATAATTAAGCCGCTGGCAAACTGGGGACGCTGCGGCGGGGGTGGACTGCAGGCGGGGGGACTCTCACAGTTCCGCAGGGCGCGGCCACTGCCCCCCCGCAAGCCGTCAAAAATGCGGCGAAGGGCCGCTGGCAAACTGAGCGGGGTGTTATCAATTTTTTTGTTTCTGTTTGTCTTTTATTGTTCTTTTTCTGTTGCTTCCTACCTCTGCTATTGGTTCTTACTTTGTTTTTTTTCTTTTTTTACCCCTGCTATTGTTATTGCTTTGTTTTGTTTTGTTTTTGTTGGGAAGGGACTGGCGCTGCGTTTTACGACGAGTGGGAACTCGTGCGGTGTGTGCGCCCCGCGCCGAGGCCGTGCCAACTCTCCCCCTCCCCCTCTCCCTCTCTCTTTTCCTCTCGCCCCGCTCCTCCCACACAGACGCAGAGAGGCAGAAGGACAACGAAGAAGAGTGACGCTGCGGCGGTTTGCGGCGTGGGCGCCCCTTCCCGCCGGTGCCGGCTGCTGGCGGCGCCACTCGCGGCGGCCGCCTCCGCCTCTCTCTCCCGCGCCCCCTCTCTCACTCCCGCGAGCACGTCATTGTTTTACTGCGGCTGCCGGCGCGTCTGACTGCGCGGTGCCGGTTGCGTGCCAAGGCGGCGGCTGAAGTTCCCGGCCGCGAGGCGGCATCGCCGCGGCGGGGTCTGTTTGGCGCGGCGGCGGGGGGTGCCTGGGCGCGCGAGGAGGGGGAGGGG